CTGAAGATGCCAGGGATTGAACCTTGGACCTTCTGCATGCAGATCAGATGCTCTCCCACTGAGCTATGCTCACCTTAAGCCTTTTAAACCCTTCGGTGTGAAGAATAAATGTTCAGAAGGGAGAGCAGGAGGAGCTTTGGGGTTGCCAATCCACGGTTAGAAGCAGACTGAATGTGTCCACAGGTCCCTTGGCCACAGACTTCCCAACAATGGCAAGACAGATTATATTTCTATTGAAATTATAGTAATGATGTCCAAGTATGCAACTCTATATACACATTAGCACATGCTAATTTTATGCAGCTCTGTGCCTTCTTTTGCCCTTTTTATCGGTGATGGTTTTCCTTTTCCAGCAGTGCATATTGCAACCATCTGGATGGTCTAGTGAGATCCTTGGATTGGCTCCGCTGACCCAGCACAACACCAAAAAGGCAGTTAAACTTAACTATATGGACAAGGAGTACATTACCTGTGGCTAGGAATGGACATTTCCGCATCATTTTGCTTCTTTAAAAGGGTCATTGAAAATATTCAGCAGCATTTAGCTATTCGTCTCTCCTAATACTGTACTCAAATTTCTGCATGCAATTTGTCCTGATATGGACATTCTTGCAAGTAATAATAATAATAATAATAATAATAATAATTTATTATGTGTACCCCACCCATATGACTGGGTTGCCCCAGCCATTCATTTATAATGTTATTTTCACAAATAAATGCATATTTATGCTTGCTTTCCCCTAGCACATATTTGCTGAAGAACACCCCAAAGTTCAAAGCAGTGCGAGTTTGGAAGGAGAACTGTGCTTTGGTCCTCCTATTGTTTTGGGAAAGTGAAAATTAGGGAATTTTCACAGTAAAATGCAAACTGAACTGAATTTCTCCACCTGCATCCCACCTCAGATGTTCAACTTCCACCAGCAGCCGGGAGGATTAAGGGAGACAGGTGAGCCTGGCAGGGTGGGGAAACTGGCCAGCCTGATTACGAAAGAGTAAGGCAAGCTTTATGCAAATTATGCAAAGCTGTCAATCTGCATAAACTTTATGCAAATCAACAGTGAACCTTCCTTTCTGAAATCTGAGCTGAGACAACTCCCCCCATCCCTGCTCTAGAGTTTAGGTAAGGGAGAAGAACTCTCAGCCTGGAATCTACAATGCTGCCCCCCCAAAAAAAAAATCTGCAGAGAAGAAGTGGGAAAGAAAACAAAATGCTGCTCTGCTCACATATGATGACATGCCTTCCAAAAGTCCATTATAGGAGTGTGGAAAATTCAGGAGAGAGAGAGAGGTCAACACCCACCCCACCCCCTGCTTTTTGCAAAAGAACAAAGCAAGCAACACAAGAGCTCAGACTTCTCACCCTCCCCTCCCCTGTTTTCTGCCCTAATATGCAAAGCAGAAATCTAGTGGGTAATATCACACATCATACACAGGGTTGCACCTGGTTCCCAGAGGTGCATCGCCACTGGTTTCTTGATATCTCTGTACACGAGGTTCACACATGCACTGTTCACATGTGCATTTAGTGTCCAGAGCTACATTGCAGCTGGCTCCTTCATTTCTCTGTACAGGAGCAAAACAAGAGTGAGCCGCTTTAGAAAGTCTACAACGCCATTTTGGAAGGTGAAAAGATGACAACACTCCCTTACAGTTTTGAGATAGATCAAACAGGCAATGGGATTTTCAAAGTCTTTGCCACCCTCCTTAAACTCCGAAGAGGAGGAGCCAACCAAAACTCTCTAGGGAGGGTTTAATAATTGGGGTGCCACAACCAAAAAAGGCCCTGCTCCAGATCCCAACCAAACATGCCCCAATGATGCGGCGACAGATGGAGCAATGTCTCAGAAGAGGAGGGCAGGATGCTAGCAGCATTCATGTGGAGGGAAGCCGGTCATTTTTGCATTTTGAATTGGACCTGGAAATGAATCATAAGCCGGTAAAGGTGGTGGAAAGAGAGAGAGGACAGGTATAATACCAGAGACCACTCTGGCTGTTCAATCTGCAGGGGAGAACAAGGCATCCCACTGAGCTGCTGTGGTCCCCAAGTGCACAACTCTGGAATGGTTTTCTGCATGGAGACACTGACAGCTTGAAGCTGAAAGGAGGAAGGGAGTCCACTGAGAAGCCTTGGTCCTGATCCAGGGGAAATTAGAGCTGGCTCATCGATGGAAAGTCCTGGCATTCGATTTCTTTTCCCTTGATTCCGATACGTGATAAGCCCTCTTTAGAAATTACGCCCACGAGTTCAATCAGCAAGAGATCAGGGAGCGGCGTCTGGCACCAGCACCTTCTGTGCAAACATCTGCAACCATGGAAGCTTTCTTATGCAGAGCCTTACATGCAAAGGCTCCATGCTTCTGCTGTTCCCAGTCTCATGGAAGATTTTGCATGTACAAGACCACTTGTGAACGCTTCCCTGTTGCAGATCTCCACTCTTCATGCGTGTGAAGCAGGGGGCAGGCTCGTCAGCTAGGGTGGGCCAGATATTGGCCCTCAAGACTCTCCCCAAGCCACACCTCCTCTCTCCTGGCCAGAGAGAGCTGGTTGTGTGTGTAGCAACCAGCCTACCGATCAAAGTTAAAATGCATTATCTGCTGCTTTGGCCACTTTTGACTTGTGTGCTGCCTGCCACTCTCATGTTGCCTAGAAGAAGAAGAAGAAGAAGAAGAAGAAGAAGAAGAAGAAGAGGAGGAGGAGGAGGAGTAGTAGTAGTAGTAGTAGGAGGAGTAGTAGTAGTAGGAGGAGTAGTAGTTTGGATTGGATATCCTGCTTTATCACTACCCTAAGGAGTCTCAAAGCGGCTAACATTCTCTTTTCCCTTCCTTCCCCACAGCAAACACTCTGTGAGGTGAGTGGGGCTGAGAGACTTCAGAGAAGTGTGACTTGCCCAAGGTCACCCAGCAGCTGCATGTGGAGGAGCGGGGAAGCGAACCCAGTTCACCAGATTACGAGTCTACCACTCTTAACCACTACACCACACTGGCCCTCAGACTGGAAAACCACTCCACACCCCTGATTGAGCATAATTTCTGGAGAAGGCTGTAGTCAGCAGTTTCACACAAACCAATGGATTCAAATGACAAGAAAGAAGATCCTTACTAAACACTGGGAATAATTTTCTGCTGGTAAGAGCTGTTGGTGGAATGGACCACCTCGGAAGGTGGTGGACTCTCTTTCACTGGAGGTTTCTGAATAGAGGTTGGATGGTCTGCTGTACGGATGCTTTAGCTGTGCTTCCTGCATCACAGGGGATGGGACTAGATGAGCCTTGGGGGGCCCTTCCAACTCTACAATTGGCATGATTGTACGTGAACCCTTTAGAAAAGTGCCATGTTCAAAATGATGCTAGCAGACACAGAAGATTTTGGCTGGGCCATTGGCCTGTTCCCCCATGCAACACATCACTGGATGTTGCAGTGTTCAATCAGTGAACATGTCGGTGCAATTATCATGTGAACCACCTCTACCAGCTAAAGATTGTGCCACCTATGTATTTTTAAAACTCCTATTCTCCTGTAGTCTGTGACTCCAGCCCCCAAGGAGATTAGTGTTTTAAATCTGCCCAGTTTCTACTGCCCAGCTCTCCAGGGCAGTACCAGTTCCTAACAACCAATGGGAGAGGGTGTGAACAGTCTTAGGCTGTGCCTCTATTCCCATTTACTCTGCATCCAGTATGCTCCACCCACTGGTTTGGGGAGCTGTGCACACACAACATTAGCCACAATCCACACCTATCCTGTATTTTCTTGTGAAAAATTGTGTTTGGGTGCTTTTCTCCCCCAAACAGCATTCAATCTGAATTGAGAAGTGCTCGAGTGAAGACATCCAGACTCTGCCCACTGGTGTGGATGTACAGCAGGCATCTTAGACACTCATCAAACCCTGCCGTGTATGACAATGTGAAAACACGGTTTGAAACGCAGTGAAAGAACTGTGCAATGTCAGTGGTCCAATGAAGGCTTATTATCTTTCTCCTAATGCTGTAGCTGTCTAGTACCCTTTCCTTTTCGCTGCTTGCTGGAATGAGGAAAGACAGGGACACAGCGCTCCTGTGTGGACCACTTTGGAACAATGCATGGCATTTACTGCTGTTTCTCCAATGTTGTTTTCTTCCAAGGTCTCCAGACACAGGAGCCAGCATCTAACACAGTATCTGCTTTTTTTCTTTTCTTTTCAAAATCATTTTAGCAATTTACTTTCTTTCGCTCTAGAGCAGATCTACAATGCCCATCGGCCTTTAACCATTAGCCTTGCAGGTTGGAGCTGACGGGAGTTGGAGTCCCACCATATCCCAGGAGTTGGGATAGCTCAGTGGGTACAGCATGAAACTCTTAATCTCAAGGTTGTGCAGTGCCCCTTAGTGGAGTTACTGAATATGTCACCCAGAAGGCAACCAGCAATGCTGAATCCATTAGCAAAACTCCAAATAGGGGCAATAATATAACACATTTATTAGGGGCAACTAAAAATCACACAAAGCAGCGGAGCTAGCTTTTGAGTTTTGCAGAACAAACCTGATATTAGCCACAAAGTGTGGGGATGGTAGGGAGGGGAAACAAAATGTTTTTGCTGGCAAAAAATATGGCAGAATCACATCTGAAATATGGTACGGACATACAGTGGTACCTCTGGTTACGTACTTAATTCGTTTCGGAGGTCTGTTCTTAACCTGAAACTGTTCTTAACCTGAGGTACCACTTTAGCTAATGGGGCCTCCTGCTGCTGCTACACCACCGGAGCATGATTTCTGTTCTCATCCTGAAGCAAAGTTCTTAACCCGAGGTACTATTTCTGGGTTAGCGGAGTCTGTAACCTGAAGTGTCTGTAACCCAAGGTACCACTATACATGTAAAATCATGGCATTCTTTGCAGACTAATCAAGTTGTTCCCATGAAAAAATAAATAAAATAAAATAAAAAATGCACCAGCTAGATTTGTCTCTAGCACAAATTGCTACTGTATGTGAGTGGCACATAGAGAGACAGAGACTCCTTGGAGAAAGTGCATTAAACAAACAAAAGAAATCAGTTTATTCACCTTACATATGATAAATACTTTGCTTTAAAATACTTTCCATTCAAGTTTTACATTTGTTTCACTTCATGTGGCTTTTTTTTAAAGCAACTCTGACCCCCCCTTCCCCATCATCCCCCCCTTCTCCTCGGGAGAGATGCATACAAAAATAATTCTGTGAGAAAGGCTCAAGAACACACAGAACAATGACTTTGAAATGAAACACTGAAGGTTTGAACTTCCGTGGACTGAAATGTCCAGAGTTGAGAAGAGAAAAAGGCACATTGCGGTGGAAGGAGGCATGGAGGAGGCGATGGCAACGAAAAAGAGGGGAGGGAGGGTTGCAAAATGTGGTTTACCTCCCTTCCTCTCCCCCCCTGCCTGGCTAGGACCCCTGTGCCTTCAAGCAGCTGCATGGCAGGCAGAAGTCAAACTGGTAAAGCTGCCCCTCACTGCATCTCTGTGGTGGGGGGAAAAGAGGGTCTCTTGAATTCGGCATGTGAGCCCTGCCATAAAGAAAACAGGGCAATACATTGCAAATCAAATATGGGGTCCTCACCAATGGTTAAGTGGGGTTTCTGCTCCATTGCTCGCACAACAGACCACAAACCTGTGGAATTCCCCGCCACAAGGTACCAGCGATGACTTTAAAAGGGAAGAAGGCAAAGTAATGGAGGATGGGGCTATTAATGGGATGAAGGATGCTGGTGTGATGGACCTCTGGTCTGACCAAACATGTCTCTGCTTTACATCCTGCCATAGTTGGTTAGTACACCAATAGCCATTTTATTGTAAATCTTAATGGAATGTGCACAATTTTTCCTCAACTGATTGATAGGCTGGTTCACAAAGGGGCTACCCAGACCTCATAAGCCAAGGTTTGCCAAGGTGATCCCTCCACCGATGCTGTTGGACTCCAACTCCCATCAACCCCAACTGCATGACCTTAATGAAGAGCATTTTGTCCATAGGACTATAGAGTCGGAAGGGACTCAAGGGGCATATAATCCACCCCCCCAATGCAGGGACACTGGTGGGCACCCCCTGCCCTGCGCAGTAAGGTTCCAGTTGGTAAGCTGCTCTTCTGTTACCCATCTCCTGGGAAAGGGGTGTGCAAAAATCCTAGGCAACAAATCACCTAAACCTTGTACATTGCTCCATGATTGCCACCACTCCCCCTTTCCCCGCTACATTTTACACATAAGGGAAACTGAGGCACAGTCACAGGGTACTGTTTCCCCGGAAGTGATGGGAATGGAACTTTCACCCATCACCACCAGCCTTTTTGTCAAGCTCACCGCAAGTCTAATGTCTACATTCAAGTGCAATTCCTAGTACATAGACAGAACCACCTCTATCATGTTTCCAGCACTTTAAGGCTTGGATTGCTCTGCCACTGAGAGCTGGAGCTGGAGACACAGGCATTAGCATAGAGGGACTGTTTCTATGCCTTAATCATAGAATCGGAAGGGATGCCAAGGGTCATCTAGTCCAAACCCACTACAATGCAGGAATCACAGCTAAATCAGACTCTCTCCTTCATGCCTGGACATGTCCACATACTCCTGTAGCTTGGGCCACTTCTGACACCACTGCTGCACAGTAGTCACCCCATATTACTTTGTTCCCCTTGGCTTGATCAATAGAGTCTCTTTCAAAATTGGGGACTGTCATCAATTCGTCCTATCACATTTTTGGGATATTGCATCATGTAGAAATGCATAGGCACACTGCTTTCTGTTAACAAGAAATGGTCTCAAAACAGAACCATAGTGCTTAAGCCTGTGAAATGCTCATTGGCATCTGTTAGCTCAGGTTGTAGGGGGACGACACCTATGGTAGTCCAGCAGCTGCTGCACTACAGCACTTATGATCCCTGACCTTTGGTGATGCTTGCAGGAGCTGATGGGAGTTAAGAGTCCAAACCATGCTCGCTACCCTTGAGTTGCAGGCATCTGGGACATCTTCAGGGTTACTTTCCTATACTGCAAGGATGGGAGCTTGTGGTCCTGCAGATTTTGTTAGCCATTGCAGACTATTGCCCCTGCTAGACGACCATAGGTTTCTCATTCCTGCTTTGGTTCCTAGCTGCCCACTGATCCTCAACCACTGGGAGACAGATGCTAGCAAGGTTGGAGTGTAAGTACCTCTAACTGGAACTTGGTTGGTGTTTCCTCCTCCTTGGGAGGAGCAATTGGGAGCAAGAGACAGGTCTCTTCAATGTACCAGCCAACTGGGATCAAGAGGCAGGTCTCAGTGATGCTCTTCCTCCTCTGCCAGTCAGCTGATCAAGGGGCATCTGCTGGGTATAGCCTGGTACAGCCATGCTGCTGAAACCAATAACAAGCATTGGTTGCTGCAGGGGTCTGCTGTTTAGGGGATGTGATGAATTGTTTCTGAGGTTGGTGTCAATCCTGCTATTCTGTGATCTTCCTGCCATCATTATGCAAAAGGAGCAGGGGGCAGGAACACCACACTTAGACACCAGTTCTGATGCCTCGTCTCATGAGCGTTGAGTGTTCAATGTAGAACAGCCATCTTGTTGTGGCTGCTTGTTTCCTTCTGCTGGTTGACCCGGGTAGCTAGTTTCAGGGCGCTCTTCAAGTTCAAGAGCTTTGATATGGAGGCCACAGGTTCAAGCTCCACATGACCACCACTGGGCAGATTAAACCCCCATAAAAGTGTGGTGCTTGGAGGAGCCTCCTTACTCATCTGTTCTCATATTCCTTCTGGAAGATTGTCAAGGAAGAGCCTCTGTCCTTTCCCCTCAATTGTCCTGATGATACAAAAAGAGTGTAGTGGGTCACATTTTAGTCTGGGTTGTCAAGGACCTTAAGAATTCAAGAGGGCCAGTGGCCAAATGGTGCATGAGTCCCAAACCTGGTTCCAAGGCTTCAACAATCCCAGCTCTGCCCTAGAGCATGTCCTTGTGCCAACAGCTCACCATCTTCTTAGGTAAGGTCATAGTCAAATGTGGCCTATATCCCCAAGTCCAAGGGAGTTCGCAGTTGGGTAGAAAAGGAGTTGGACAGACCCACACGAAGGCTTCATAAAATGGAGTCCTGACAGGTGCCCCACATCCCCTCTAGGCCCCGCACCTTCCTCCTTTCCTAGGCAGCCATCTTGGCAGAGCAACCCAGAACCACATGAAGGGAGGTGGAAGGGAAGCACCGATGGGACAAAATGGCTGCCTGGGCGCCCTGCTAGGTCTCCTCGTCCCAAAGGCACAGCTGCTTCTGCGGTACGTAGTAGTCGAAGCTGTAGCCCTTCTGGCAGCTGCGGATGCCACACTTGTAGGAGGAGACCTTCCCAGCAGCATCGCGGCTCTTGCAGTACTTGAGCATGCAGGGGTACCACTCGATGCTCAGCGCATAGCTGCAGATGCAGGGCCTCCAGCGATCTGCACACAGGCGGCACCGCTGCAAGTTGGGAAGGTCAGATGACTGGGGCAGGACCTCGAACATGGAGCCGTCCACACCTGCAAGAGAGCCACAAAGACAGAAAGTCACTTCCCGTGCTGAGGCCGCATCCAAGCACTGCGATAGCTCTTTGAACAGTCATGGCTTCCCCCAAAGAATCCCAGGAACTGCAGTTTGTTAAGGGTGTTGAGAGTTGTTAAGAGATCTCAGCCAATGCTGGGTCTCCACCAAGGACCTAAGCACACAGGTGGGTTCATAAGGGATGAGCTGGTCCTCAAGGTACCTGGGTCTCCACTCCTTTAGGGCTTTAACCAGAACGGTTGCGCTGGATCTGGAAATGACCTGGCATGGGAACCTAGGAAGCTGTCTTATGCTGTTTACAGCACTGCAATGCCCCTGGCTCAGTCATAGGTAAAGGTAAAGGGACCCCTGACCATAAGGTCCAGTCGTGGCCGACTCTGGGGTTGCGGCGCTCATCTCGCTTTAGTGGCTGAGGGAACTGGCGTACAGCTTCCGGGTCATGTGGCCAGCATGACTAAGCTACTTCTGGCGAACCAGAGCAGCGCATGGAAACGCTGTTTACCTTCCCGCTGGAGCAGTACCTATTTATCTACTTGCACTTTGACGTGCTTTCAAACTGCTAGGTGGGCAGGAGCAGGGACCAAGCAACAGGAGCTCACCCCGTTGCGGGAATTCGAACCGCCGACCATCTGATCGGCAAGTCTTAGGCTCTGTGGTTTAACCCACAGTGCCACCCGCATCCCTTATTTCTGGCTCAGTCATGGCTCCCCCCAAATAATTCTAGGAGATGTAGTTTGTTAAGGGGGCTGAGAATTGTTAGGAGGCCCCAGGTGTAAAAAAAAAGGCTATTTATGTATGCTACTAATGCGGCCCGTGATTTGTTAGCCCCCAAATGGAAAACGAGCGAGGTCCCAACTAAAGAAGAATGGCAACTTAAGTTGGCAGAATATGCACAACTCACAGACTTAACATATATAATACAACATGGGTAGGCAAACTAAGGCCCGGGGGCCAGACTTGGCCCAATCTCCTTCTAAATCCGGTCTGCAGACGGTCTGGGAATCAGCATGTTTTTACATGAGTAGAATGTGTGCTTTTATTTAAAACACATCTCTGGGTTATTTGTGGGCCATAGGAATTCATTCATTCCCCCACCCCTCAAAAATATAGTCCACCCCCTCCCCTACAAGGTCTGAGGGACAGTGGACCGGCCCCCTGCTGAAAAAGTTTGCTGACCCCTGGAATAAGAGAAGAAGAAGAACATATGGTTTAAAGAAGATTGGCAAATGTTTATTGAATATATGGGAAATAATTGCGTGCAGCTGAAAACGCTGGCAGCATCAAGATAAATTCAACAGTGTAAACAAGTTTTGAGGGATACAATAATGGAATAATGGAATACTGAATGGTACAGTTTTTGTAAAATATGCAGGGATTTATGATATGTAAAATGAACCATGGAAAGAGAAAAAGGGAAGTCATTTATATCTTAAGGATGTGAAAGGAATATTTTAAATTGTAAAACAGAAAATTTAAAAAATATATATATATAAAAATAGAGAATTGTTAACTACCATTCCCAGAGTTCCCTGGGAAGAGGGATTGATTGTTCAACCACTCTGGGAACTGTAGTTCTCTAAGTGGAATAAGGAGCCTCCTAACAACTTTTAGCGCTCTTAACAAACTACAGCTCCCAGAATCCTTTGGGGGAAGCCGCAAATGTTTCAGGTGGTATCATAGCACTTTAAATGTATGGTGTGAACGCGGTCCAAAGCTCCTCCAGTTTTTACCAGCCTCCAGCACCCAAAGGTGTCCCATGCCCTAAACTAGGCATAGCCAAACTTGGCCCTCCAGTTGTTTTGGGACTACAACTCCCATCATCCCTAGCTAACAGGACCAGTGGTCAGGGATGATGGGAATTGTAGTCCCAAAACAGCTGGAAGGCCAAGATTGGCCATGCCTGCCCTAAACCCACCCATTCTCCCCAGGTGCCTTTCTTGCTTGCTACCTTCTGCATCAGACTCGTCGAACCAGGTTTCCCATGCTTCTTCCATGATCAGTGGGCCACACTGGCTGGGGCTCATGGGAGTTGGAGTCCAGCAACATCTGGAGAGGGCCACCCATTAGCTATTCTTGCCATTCTCCACTGTCACTGCTGCAGAAGGAAGATGTCAAATGGGAATGGCGCCACCTACCTTTCTCCAGCCAGAACTTCACATCCTCTTCCCGGGTGTAGATGGCCTCTTTGGCCTCCGCACAGACGTTGTGGATGTGGGAGCTGAGCTGAGCCCCTTTGCTGAAGTTGACAGCCACGTCCATGCTGAGATGCTCAAGGGCACGCACCTCTTCGGCTTGCCGCACAGTCCGTGGATTTTTCTGGGCAGGGAGAAAGCAGTGGAGGAGTCTCATCAGCTTTGCTATCACCAATGTCATTTTAAAACCCAACAGCTGTTTTTCGCTGGGGGTCGGTCTGCGTATTTAACTACCATAAATGAATAGAAGCACGCAGGCATAAATAGTTCATTGTCTGCTCCCCTAAAACTCACAGCAGTTTACCATTTAAAAAAGCAGCACTGAAATATGAGGCAACCATGCCTCATCAACTGGGATGGGGGGGGAGAGAGAGACATATTTTTAAATAAAAATCTAACTGCCTCTTCATTAACACAAATATACTAAATTGACCAAAATAGTAAGTGCTAAAATTAAGGAAATTACTCAAAAGCTTTCCTGTTTGCTAGAAACACTTGCGATGTTAATTCAAATTCAGTTAAGATATAGCTGAATTAGTGGAAGGATGTAATCTTGCCTTGGTTCACACCACACAACAAGCCAAACTATTATTTACTGGGACCACACAACAGGGGACAGGGTGGGGGGGAAGACAACTTGGCAAAGGTTGCAGGGGGGAGGATAAACCCTCCTTTTTCTGCCTACAATTTCTTTGCTTCAAATCCCTCTCCCCAAAGCTGGTTTCCCCTCTGTGGGTCTCCAAGCAGGTGTTCAAGAGGGGCAACTGCGTGTTTGGATGTTGTAAAGAGAAAAATTGCTTGGGGAGATAAAGCTGGAGTGGAGACATGTAGGGGAAAGGGTTAAGCATTCCCGTGCTGCTGCTTCTCTGAGAGCCAGTGTGGTGTAGTGGTTAAGAGTGGTAGACTCGTAATCTGGGGAACCGGGTTCGCGTCTCCGCTCCTCCACATGCAGCTGTTGGGTGACCTTGGGCTAGTCACACTTCTCTGAAGTCTCTCAGCCTCACTCACCTCACAGAGTGTTTGTTGTGGGGTAGGAAGGGAAAGGAGATTGTTAGCCACTTTGAGACTCCTTTGGGTAGTGATAAAGTGGGATATCAAATCCAAACTCTTCTTCTCCACTCCTAATCCCATTCCTTGCAAAGTTGCCTTCACTTGACAAAAGCAGCTTGTTGGGTTTCTATTGCATGCAACTTGTCTGTGAGGCTCTGAAGTGCGATTAATGGGGATCCACAGCAGAGCCTTTTTCTATAGAAACAGCAGCTTTGTGGCCTAGAAATCCACCAAGAAAATCCTCTCTCTGCCCCTTTTGCAAGCAGGTGAATGCCTGCTGCGATGAACCATGAACTCCTGTGTTCAGGTTCCATCCTAGGTGCTGACTTAAGTGGATTATTTAACAGGGTTATACACAGTGCCCAGGTAGGGCTCCTAATACTGCCCTGCAGCAGAATTTGTTCTAATCCAAAGGGGGGGGGTGAATCTGAGGATGGGTTGTGCGTAGATAATTCACTGGACATGGTAAATAGTTGCACTTTTTATGCAAACATTTGAAAATCTCAGTTAGTTGTCACAATTATTTTCTGAAAGTCACCTAGGACATTGATCCCTGCTCCACTGAAAGGGGACCAGTAAATTTAAAGAACAAAAAGAGTAATAATGTGCCTTAGGGTCACCTTACCCTAAATGCAAGAACCAATGACCATCCCTCCATCTTCTCACCTGTCTTAGCTTGGCCATGGACTCACTGGGAATGATCTCATTGCGGTGGAGCCTGGTTACAAAGCAGAGTGCCTGGAATTGACTCTGGCCCCTCTCCAGTTCTCCAAGGATTAGGGCTCGGAAAATCTTCACCTCCTAAAGAGAAAAGGGGGAAGAGTTAAAATACATTCCTGATTTCAGTTTGACATGGTTGTGTAAACCATCTGTCTAAGCTTCCATTCACTGAGGGTGCAGATACCTTATTGCTGCTGGACACAGAGCCCAGGGTGTGTTGTTTATTTGAATTCTGCCTGCAGAATTCAGACTCCACACCGGCATTGCTTAAGGTAACAGGGGCATTAACTGGGTCTATACAGTTCACTGGGAGGGCTCCAAATGCAGGCCTGCAGGAGGGTTTCTCCTAGGACCTCAGCCAAGAGAAGACAAGGGGGAGGGAATATGTGTTGTCATTAGGGGAATTTACGGTGTCTGAGCTGCAGCAAATCTGCAAACAGAAAGAGGAGAACGCAGGAAGCAGACTTACAACAAGTCAAATCATTGGTCCATCTAGCTCAATATTGTCTACACAGACTAGCAGCAGCTCTCCATGATTTCAGACAGGATTCTCTCCTAGCCCTAACTAGAGATGCTGGGAATGTTGGTCTCTCCTGTGCCAGTTTCCATCCCTGGACATTTCCCAGGTCGAAGATAGGAAACACTATGGAATTTCTGCCTGACACTCAGCTGTTGAACCACAAAACTGGAAACACACCACAGGAAGATGATAGGGGGAGCAGGGAGAGAAGAGATAGATGGGGAAATTTCCAGGTGATTGAAATGACATTGATGCCATCCCCAATAAATCGCAGAACAAATCCTTCCACCTGGGGCTGCAATTCCGATCAAATGTGTGGTACTGGGGTGACACACATAATCAAACCTGCAGTAAAGAGGAACTTCACATGACAGTTTATTCCATTTCCACAACTGTCCCCTAACAGATAAGTCCCACATTGAGATTTCACACGAAGTGTAGGCCACTTCTGAAACTATGGTGCAAGTTCAATGCTTATTTCCATGTTACTTGCTTCCAATAAAATAAAATCTGTTTGTACCTTTGAGTGTTTTCACCTGGCTGCACTGTGTCGTGTGTGTGTGTGTGTGTGTGTGTGTGTGTGTGTATAGAAAAAGTCCCTTATCTACAAGAAGACTCATCCTGGAAGACTAAATTAGCACAGTGAGGCCTCCTGTCCTAGCTCCTCTCCCTCCTGGATCTGTGTGGCATTCCAGGCACCTGCCTTTATAAGACCAAGAGCTCAGGAACTGAGCTCACTCTGGCTAAGCCTCTCTCCCTGGGATGACCTCTGGGTCTGCCTGCATACATTCCAAGGCTGATTCACCGTCTTCCCCTCCCAGGAGTACGACAGGCCGGCCAGACAATGCAGGAAACGACCAGACAGCTGACAGCACAGCTGCATGCTGGACCCAGGATTGAGTTGGGTGTTGGCTGGATACATTTAAAACACAGAAGAAGATGAATGGGGAAGAGGTCCCAGGCACACACACACACACACACACACACAGCGCTTCTCTTGCAAGCTTGTACTTCTCTTTGGGCTCCTTCCCTGCTCTCTTGGGGGGAGGATGCAGCTGGCCCATTCCATGTTTCTAGTCCTCATGCATTCTAGGGTGAAGCCTAGAAAAGTGTGGGCAGTGTGTGCTGCAGAGAAGGGCCATAGCCCAGTGGCAAAGGATGGGATTTGCATGCAGAAAGTCCCAGGTTCAATCCTAGTAGGGGCAGGAGAGGCTCCTGCTTGAAACACTAGAGAGTTGCTGCCAGTCAGTGTAGGCAATGCTGAGCTACAGGTAAGGTAGCTCCCTATGTTCACTGTTTAGGGGGGGGCCTTCCTTTCTGGGAGGGTGCAATGTCCAAGCTGGGTGGGCTGGAGCAATCCAAATAATTTTAAACTGCCCAGAAAGCGGCTCCAAACTGCAGCTCTGCTGGCTTGATAGATGTGGCAATCCTACATGCAAGGTTGCCAATTCTACTCCCAGGGGCTCCTCCCCACACCCACCTTTTGAGAGAGCTTTTCAAACAACAACAGGCACCCACTCATTCCCATTATTTCCAATGTCCAAGCATGAGCGCCATTCCGTTTGCAGCAGAAATAGGACCATCCACCTGAAAAGCTCACGGTTTTGCAGAAGTACAAGTATCAGAGGGGGTGGGCAGAAATGGGAGTACACAGCCCAGCGAGGACTGAGCATGCTCAGTGGCCACAGAATCCTGGCTGAATATTTGGAGTGGGGGGAGAAGGGGGAATGAAATGGAGTAACCTGAAGGGGGTCATGGCTGACTGTCCACGAGCCTTTCCCTGGTGGAGGTGGTGACCTCTGAAACTCCCTAATGTGAAACCCCCCTTGCGACAGAAAGAGAGGAGTCACTCAGACAACATTCTGGCGCTTTGGCTCCCAAACCTATTTGCTTTTAGCTGTGGTTCTCCCTCCGGGCCCCACGTCGGCCAGCTACTTCACTCTCTCGCAAGTCCCAATCATTCTCCAGCCCTTGCAAACTCCCGTTCCCGTCGCGCCAGCGAGCGGGTGACCCAGCAGCGCCGCTGAGCCAGTCTAAATATTTATCTACTCTCTCTGTGTGCCGGGTGATTTATAGGCTGTGAGCGCTCTCTCTCCCCTGTGCCTGGTGTGGAAAGGAAGGGCAGTCGGGAGGCCTCTCGGAGTGGGTCGCAGACGGCATCTTCACTAAACTGGAGAGGAGGGCTTGGAGAAAGGAGACGGCTAACAAGGGTTAAAAGGGGAGAACCAGGGAAAAGATACCTGCACAGGGAAGGAGGAGAAACTAAACCCCTCTCTACTACAGTGGTACCTCAGGTTACATACGCTTCAGGTTACAGACTCCGCTAACCCAGAAATAGTGCTTCAGGTTAAGAACTTTGCTTCAGGATGAGAACAGAAATCATGCTCCGGCAGCACAACGGCAGCAGGAGGCCCCATTAGCTAAAGTGGTGCTTCAGGTTAAGGACAGTTTCAGGTTAAGAATGGACCTCCAGAACGAATTAAATACTTAACCCGAGGTACCACTGTACATCGGGTAGCATGTTGATGCATTCCCCATAACACATTAATGAATCCTGCTCCAGAAGGGGTTTTTGCCTAGCCACTGTTAGAGTGGGATGCAGGATTAGATGGGTTTATGGCCTAATCCAGAAGCCAGTCTCACCAAGGTTGCAGGTTCCATCCCCGTATGGAGCAGTTGCATATTCCCGCTTTGGAGGGTGTTGGATGAGATGATTCTCAGGGTCCCTTCCAACTCTATGGCGCTATGATTCTTCCTGAGTCCCTGGAATCTCCAGGTGGGGCTGGGAAGCCGGTGTGGTATAGTGATTAGAGCGACGGGACTAGGATCTGAGAGGCCAGGGTTCAAATCCCCACTCAGCCATGAAGCTGACTGGGTGACCTTGCTCCAAGCACAGTCTCTCTGCCTGACCTACCTCACAGGGTTGTTGTGGGGATTAAAGAAGGAGTGGGAGAACCATGTTCTCCACCTTGAGCTCCTTGGAGGAAATATAACTGCAAATGCAAAAGACCTTTCTTTGCTGGAAATGCTGGAGAGCCTCTGACAGCCTCTGTGGGCTGGTGATGGCAAACCTGTGGCCCTCCTGATATCATTGGTGACTGGCTCTGCTGGCTGGGACTCATGAGTTGTGAGCCCAGCAGCCTCTGAAGGGCTGCAGGTTCCCTGTCTTCTGGTTGGAGAGCTGGGCTTGCATTCAGATCCCTGTTCAATTACAGGTGAGGCCGAAAGAGAGCAAATGGCCCACCTCACAGGGCTGTTGTGTGGATAAAGGTGAACATGCAGACTGCCACCAGCTCTTTGGTGGAAGGGCTAGGCAGGAAAGCCAAAAACAAACAAGCTGGCCCTGTGTCAGATTTGTCACCGCGCCTGATCTGTGGAGAGCTTTTTCCACCCCACCCCGCAGTGTCACTCAACTCTTCCATGGAAGAAGGCAAACAGGAAGAGATGGGATTTCAGGTGCACATAAGCTTGGCACACTTGGGCACAAAAACCCTGCTCCCAGATGAGCTGATTTCAGGGTGTCAGTTGCAGAAATCAACTGCCCTTCCTGCTTTCATCTCCTGCATGCTCTTCCCCGTGACTCCCTGGGTACTCACTTCCGCTAGGAGGCCTCCATGCAACTCAGGCACCCCTATTCTTGCCTCCCTCTCAAAACGCCCCATCAGCTAAATCAGAACAGCTTCCTTTTTATTATTCCAAGCTGGCGTGTTAAACCCCAAAGCCAGATCTTTATCTAAACAAACCATGCTCTGATGGCTCAGTTGGCCCAGACTCAGGGGGGACAGGGCTGGTGTTGCTCTTTACGCCCAAACATTCCCATACTGGTATGAGGCTTCCTTTCTCCTTGCAGCACTGGGCTCCAGCCACAGACTTTGCTTCTGGCTACTTCTTCCCCCAGCTTCTGTTGCAGCCAATTTTATTTTGATTGCATTTAAACAGGAGACTGTGCAAATCAACTCCTGCCTACAAGTCCACGATAACAACGCCCCCCCCCAGTTCCCAGGATTCTTTTTCCTTTTTCTGTTTTTTAGAGGGGAGGGTGCTTTAAATATATGATGCGTTGACGTCCCCAGACAAGTTACAAAGCTGCAATCCTAACCCCACTTTCCTGGGAGTAAGCCCCACTGAATACCACCCGACTTACTTCTGAGTAGACAGACAACAGCAAAGGTTGCTAGGTTTATCGAGGGTGCGATGAGATTAAGGGCCACTATCTGAACGGTAATCTTGGTCATTTGATTGCCCTTTTTACCCATTGCTGTCTTTTTATTTGTATATATTGCTTGTTTTATGTTGCCATGGCTGTTGGCTAATGCGAATAAAGTCTATCTATCATCTATCTATCTATCTTCCGAGTAGACTTGGTTAGGATTGCACTGCAAGCTGCCGATTTGGGATGAAAGTCATGCAGCTGATGAAATGGACTCCAGTCCACAAATATTTGCTAAGGTGCCAGAAGACTCCTTAAAAAAGAAAAGAAAAAAGGTTTCTCCTCAAAATGAGGGAGGTCCCTTTCCCGACTCCCTTCCTGCAGAAAAAAACACACCAGGTGATTCAGCGC